TAGATAGTAGCTACATGTGTTGAATAGCGAATGAGCTCCTCCGGAGTCACCGGTAGTCATGCACCAACACACCGCTGCCTTGCAGTCCACACATGGCGGTGCTAAGGCGAGAGTTGTGCCCTCGAAATAAAATACCGGTTGACACTGGGGACGTCTCTCATACCAATCTCCCTCGAAGCCCCATGGTCATCATGGAGCCGGTTTTTCCTCTCGAAGGAGCCATCGGCAGTAAATTAAAAACGCTAAAGGTAATTGCCTATTTTTCGGGAATTTCTGTTTGGTCCAAATGAGAGTTACCATATATGTAGCAGATTGCAGCAATAAGTTAAATTTCGTTCTACGTATTTTTGCAGTGAATACCCCGTTTCCTGAACGCAATTGATCAATCGTTTTTAGACGGCCCGCGACTTTCCCTAACGTTCATAAACGACCTACCGAAGGCACTGGGGCCAAAATTATTACTTTTTGCAGATGACGCCAACATTCGGAATACAGTAACTCAGCCTGCGGGCTCACCGGCACTCCAGGAAACGTTGAAAGCAGCTCATCTGTGGTCCATTATGAACGATATTGAATTCAGTGTGCCAAAGTGTAAGGTTCTATCTCTGCTACACAGGGGGCTATTTTCCTATTTCCTCGGAAATGAACAACTACCACACGCCGCAAGTGAAAAGGACCTGGGCATCGTCATTCAAAAAAACTTGAGCTGCTATCTCTAATGCATCAAGGTGTCGAACGCAGCTGTAAAGAATGTCCGTTTACTTAAGCGGGTCTTTGGCCAGTTTGAGTCAGCGCTTTCTCTCGTCTACTACCAGCATACATTGGCCCACTGACACAGTACGTCATCCAGGCGGGGAATCCATGGCTACAACAAGATTGCAAAATGCTGGAGCGTCCACAAAGGATGACCACCAAAATGGTCAGGGGGTGAATCGGTATTCATACGCAGAGAGATTGAAGTCACTGGGGTTATATTCCATTCACTACCGGCGCATCAGAGGATATATGATTATGGTATACCAAATAATGCAAAACCCAAACCATCCGTGTCGCCCGCTTCTGAAGTTATCAACCAACGTTCATCTTAGAGGACATCCGCTTGGAATGCAGGCGTCAGTCATTTGCTGTCAGAGTGTATTCGATCTGGAACTCTCTCTCATCCTACGTCGTCTGTGCTCCAAGCATTGAATCTTTCAAACTGAGACTCGATGAAACACCAGCACACTTTACATTTCCACAGAAGTGAAGCTGCGTGAAGCAGTGGAAGAAGCACGTATCACGTGACATTTTACACAAGGAATTGTATGTATCATTGTTTTTTAACCACCACACGAACCTATGAGAGGAGAAAAGCATGAGGTTGTAAGTTATACTCATAATAACTCTTTGATCTTTGACCGTCTTTAGAGCGACATGTCCCCACTATTATTTGATGGTAATAATTTCGAAACTCGGCAGAATACAATGGTCTTCGTCCGCTGATTAGCTTAGTTTGAACAACGTAAAACCCGCTAAATTGGATATCGTTTCCTTTGGTTTATTTTTAAAGCAATTGTTTCATATCACCCAACCACATTAAAATTTGTGTACCTTCAAAATTTTTTTTCATCGTTGTTTGCGCGTCTCTTTTTAGCTAGTTTAGAACCTTGGTTTTTAGCGAACTCCTTCAGGTGAATTTCCAGTGGTTCACCGGCCCAGTTATAGCCCCAATTATTTGCTCGTTGTCTTCTCATTTGACGGGTAAAAGCAGTGAGCAGGGCTTCTTCGCTAGAGGCTGTTTGAACCCCAGCAATACGGATGCTTCTGGAGGCGAGTTTCCAATTACAATCATGAGATTATCTGAATCTTCTCTGTACTCACACGCACACACCAAGACATACTAGCCCCCCCCCCCAGGTGATCTCACTCCGCAGGTGCCTTCTCTTCGTCCATACGTTATAGCCGTCGCCTGTATACCGTTCTTTTGCTTTATTGTGCTATCATATCTGAAAATTGGTATCGTGTTAACGGTTCAATGAAAGTGGTGAATACTAGCAACTTTTGTGATATGGCCCGCATCAATGTCCACTCATACAGAAAGCATTCCTTTGATGAATTTACATCCTCGTCCTCGTGTTCCCTATCGCTTGTCTTATCCACAACTTTACTGGTATTTTCTACCATTCCATTTTCCTTTCTAAAGTTCTTTACCCCAACTGATGGAACGAAAGCGTTGTTTGGACATGCATACCAATATTGCCACTTGTCTGGCGAATGTGATCACACGACGTCAGTTGCACGTGTTTGCTGAAGAGGAGGATAAGCTGATTTCCAAACAAAGCACGGCGGTGAGTACGCAGTATCACTAATCCTATCCTGTTCACCCTCTGAATTCCACAAAGTCATTTTTTCTGTTATGATATTCCGCTAAGATTAAGGAATAGGATTGCAACGGCATCCCATTAGGTTCGATTTTTATAACCACTAACGACGTACTTTTGTGCTCCGGTTTTGTTTGTTGTCTCATGACTGTCTACTCGAATAAAAGAGCAGAAGGAACAATGGAATGTTGCGAGCAGAGTCAAAGAAAAGATAGGGAATCCACATGGACTAAGGTTGCAAGGATAATGAGTAGATGCTCGAGCGCCACTGTTTGCAACACTCAGCCAAATCACTCAGTATCTCTAACCACCGGTTGCGATGATCAGCCAGTGCCAAGTCTGCGTTTGACAGCCGTTTAATTTTTTCCACTTACTACCCACCTTGCAAACATCGCGCGTCATGGTAATGTATTTTGGTGACATGCGCAGCACACGCATCAACCAACGCAGTTATCCAATGACATTTGCGTGATTTTGAAGTCATCGGTACGTTGTTTCTACGCATTTATACTACACTGCTTATTCTGTCACGCTGTGTGAATAGAACACAGTGTAGAGAACGGGACTTGTTTTTATTGTTTCGTCTTCTTTGGCTAATACATCATGTTTTTTATAATTTGGATAAAAAACGAAAGGGTGAGGGTAGTACGTACCAGAGCTTCATTTTTCGTTATTGAGATAAGGCCGCATTTCTTTTTAAATGTGATATATCAGTATTTCTCAAACTACAGTTCACCCCTCCAATTCCCATCTTCAGGTGAATTTCAGTTGCTTCTTTCCACACATTCAGACACTTAGATTCTGTGAACCTGTGCAGTCAATAAAGTCCTGACTTGCAATTTTCGCTCACGTTCAATAGCATACTGAGAGACAGGTGTTCCACTAGTGTACATAAGGTCAAGTGTTTAAGACCGACGATGTTTCTTCTGATTTTTGTTTAATCAGCAGAGCAATCTCAAGAATTTTAACACCATGCTGGACGTAAGACCCCATGTTTTTGGTTCGTATGATGTTTGTTTATTGGCGATGAGTATAAGCTCATTCTGGATAATCATCTTCGAATGTAACGCTTTAGCTGATTACCTTTTATGTATGTTTAAATCGATGAACTGAGGATTGTGCTTGAAGATGAAATCCGAAGGATAGTCAGCTCAAATCAATAAAAATCAATTATCTCACACCACTCACAAGTAACTGTGAGTCGAATGCGAAATACCTTTTATCCGTCCTTTTCTTCTACCACCCTATAGGACTCCAACCTGTCTGAATTGATCAAAAAAACATCTTCCGGGACTTCTGAAGATAAACTTAGATTGCTCCTGTTCGCTGCCTTACTTCGGTCCAGTAATCCACTGACCTCAACTACTTCTGGGTCTGCTGGTGGTGCTGGTGGCCCCACCGGGTCTGGGGGTGGTGCGATTGAATTTTGTCTGTCCGACAGTGAGGTGAATCAGTTAAAAAATCAGCTAAAGGAGGCCTGTCCAGAGCTGGATTTGAGCGCTGTGGACTACGTACAACACCTGCGGTAAGTGATGATTTACTGGGGTCATCACCGTCTTCGTTTAACAATTCGCATATTTCCGCTTGTTGGAAACATCCGAGCCTTCAGATTGCTGGAATAACCAAATCCGTAACGTTTAATCTCGCTATTGTGATGACGAAAGTGGGATGCTTGATTTGTTCCTCGGGTTGATAATACCCACTCACTTGTTTATCCCAGCTAACGGTCTCACAATGAAAACTCTGATCAATGTGTTAAACCAAATATTGCGATCAAATTCTCAGGTTATAGTTCGGCAAAACCATTCTGAATTGCATCTTTGGTCTATGGAAACCACGACATAGTTTTGTACGCTTTTGGCAGCGATCAGTGATGTTCGCCTCACTATATTTCGCTGTACGATGATGATGGGTCTGCTCCCCTTCCATCTGTTTTCCATTGTAGTTAGAGGTGTTGACCAAACTCGTGCAACATTACCCTCATTTTAGAAATCCATTTCAGCTTGCAACATTATATATATATATATATATATATGGCTATGAGTAGAGTGTATTTATTCCTGACTTTATATCCAACATCTATGTTTTTAGTTCTTTTCTTTCACCGTTTGAATTTGCGTGAACTTGATTGTCGCGGTAATTTTTATAGTAGTTCGAAAGTTACAGCTCTGATTTGGAAAATATTTTAGGCAAAGCAGCATGGGAGTTCGGTCTTTTTAAAAATATGAGAGTGTTTATTAAGTTCAGCACACGTATTCTAAATTTCTAATCTCTTTTCATTCAGTGCACAATAAATAAGCAAATTAAGGAAAACATTCTGGCCTAAATAAATTGATAAAATATTTGGCTACAAACTACTTACGCTTCATCTACAATACTGGAAGAATTGGAAACATAGTCTAAAAAACACAAGTTGATCTTCGAAAGTTGACCTTGAGGCGTGCGGCTCGTTGAATAAGCGTCTTGTAGGGTCACCATACTCAAACCGGATGAAACTTTGAAAAGGTTTTGGTATATAATTGAAGTTGAGAGGCTCGTAAATCCAATGGCTCAGTGGGTGTCTTGTGGAAGCGCGTCGATGTGAACGCAAGTCCAATTTGTTGCATATTCAATGAAATTTCTCCATCAAGAAATAAACGGAGAAGGAGAAAACCGGCCATATCAAAGAAAGATGATGGTGGTATTTGATCGCAGCAGAGAAGATTTGCACACAATCAATCTGGAGGATATTCCGGATTGATTAGCCATTTTTCCCACGCTTTCGTTTAGAAAATGATGGCTCAATTTGAAATGCAGCTGAGGCCACGTGATATAAAGCCATTATTGAACGCCCAACAAAGCATAGCGCGTATTGATCAGACCGAGAAATTCAAATCGCGTCGCCCGTCCATTTGGCAATGGGTTTATCTCACTGGTGGCCGACGAGTAATTCAGCATTTTGTGAAAGCCGATCTATTGAGCTCATTTTCTAATGAATTTTTTCATCTGTCAAAAGGCGTATATCTACACCACCTAACGAGTTGAAAGGGAAGCGATTATTGAGCGCATTGTTGTTGTTCTCCTGCATACGCCAATATGAACATAGCAAAATTTCCTGCACTGATAAGGGAGGTTTTTGAGAACTGTCACTCAAAAAATGCATTTGCGGAAGTCATATTTTTCACATGTGACGGTTGGCATATAAGCTCGCTTGAGCTTGGTGGTAGAAAACGGTTGGACCTAAATAAATATTATTTTTTCACATTTATGCAGTTTCTACAGGGGTCAAGTTCAATGTCAAATGCGTTCTATTACCGCGCAGAAGCTGGGATTTTAATTTAATCGAAAACTTTTCTTTCTATCAGAAACAGGGAGAAGTTAGCTACCTTGCCATTGGTCGCCAGTGGTAAGGGTGTGCGGTGTATTAGAGGAAACTTTCAACTTCTGTTTGGCAGTCAACTTGGTGGATTCCATGCATGGAGCGACTGCCTCCAGTGCTCACAAATTAAAGCAAATGTAACATGGACGAGATGAAAGTACAATACCTGTGTCAAGTGTATGAGTCATTTCAATAAATAAATTACCGTTACGTTTTCTGCTGTGACTTTGTTATCTTACAACTGATGCACCAGCAACCATCGTCAAAATCGCGAAACTGTACATTTTAATGGCCTGTGGCTAATAGAAGCAGTGACATAAGTGGGTATTATATCATATATGTTGCGTGGAATGTGGGGCGATATCATATTCAATCCTGTGAATGAGGCTGGAAAAACAAAGCATCGAGAGAAACAAATGTGATGAAAATCAGGATGTTGCACAAGTTTGGTCAATACCTGTATGTTATCTGGTCGCTGGTTGAGTTCCTTAGCATCCTGCTACGTAGTGTACAACTGCATAAGTTGTCGTTTACCCGGTCCAGGTAAAATCAACTAAAAAGCTTATAATGGTTCTGGTCAAGTCACAACTAGATGCTGGTGCTGAGATGAGCGAGAATGTTCACTCGCAGAAAATTTGACACACTGTGCATGCAAAAGTGGGTATTGTTATATGTTGCTTGCAGGCTTGTGCTTATGTGCTTAATTCGCAACCGGTCGTGCATTTCCCCATACATACTGCACAGTTGTCTGTTTCGAATGTAAGCTGCTGCTGGCTTTTTTATCGTCTCCATTAGCTCACTTTTTAACATTTCACCCGTCCCCTTTGTTCATTTCAGGCGTTTATCCCGGATGGGTAATCTTAGTGATCCTTCCGGCATGAAATCCAATGCCAGTCGTAGCATGCTGAATAAGCTGGTCTCTCATGGATCTGCTATCTTCCTCACCGGAATGCGGCATCTGATTGGCCGAAAATCGGTATGTGTTAATTGCAGTTTCCATTTGTGTGCGTCCTCTTCTCCGAAAAACCATTCTTTCGCTATCGCTCTCTGTCTGTTTGTCTGTCTGTCTGTCTGTCTGTCTGTTGAAGCCCAACGGAAGGAAGCCTCATTTTGAGCAAAATTTACCGTTCTGTTTGTTGTCTGTCTGTCACCATTTTGTTTATAATACTCGCCCACGATTCAGTCAATTAGTCAAATGCTTCAGAGGAATGACCGTTCTGCATGTACGTCTCTGTGTTTGGCATGCTTCAAGTTACGTATGACGATATTGGACTAGTAATCAAGTTGTTGAACGGTATGGTATATCCTGACTATACTTGTTATAAATTCCGAAATAAGCCCATTGTAACATCAGAACACAAGTCCGAAGGCGAACAATTGTTTTCGAATGATTCATAATCNTCCTGTTCCGTACCGCCAACGATGTTCATCGACGAGAAATACGGCAGCTGTCTTCTCGAATCGGATTTACGTTCATGACTTTGGTTAGTCACATTCCCCGACCTCAGGGGGCAGTGTGAATTACTACTCGTAATTAGATGTTTCTTCCCCTGTGTCCATTAGACTACTCATGAGTAGCACACAGCGTTTATTTCCTCAACAGTCAGACTTCCGATTTTGTGCATCCCACGGTGTCCATATTCATGATATTTATATATTGTGTTTCAAATTCCGAAATAATCCCAGTATATCATCAGAACACAAGTCCGAAGGCGAACAATTGTTTTCGAATGATTCATAAAGGTGCCTGTAAAGATCATATAAGGGTTTGTTGTTAGTGGGGACACATTTTCACGCTGGTTCAAAGGGTCAGTTGGGATGAGGATAGGAGAGGGGAGGGGTAAGCTCTATCTGTCTGTGTTCGGGTGAGACTGATTGTGATTGGAGTGGTGGTGGTGATGGTGATGTTGATTATCAATTTGGGGCCAGGGTAAGTGGAGAGCTTGAACCAGTCGCTTTTGTGCACATAGTTCTGGTGCGAATAGGCGAATGCCTATCGCCTCAGCGGTGGCTAGTGTATGTAAGCGCACTGCTTTGGAGGGGTTGAGGGGTACACGATAGATTACGTTGAAAGCCGATTCCGGTCTAATTTGATGACCTGTATCTACTAGATGACCAAGAATGGCACTTCCTATGCTTCCTGTTCCTCCTTGTTTTAACCAACGTGGGCAGTGCTCCTTCATCCGTTGGGATAGTTGCCTCGCCGTGCGGCCAATGTACGTTGCATTACAAACGCATCGGGAAGAGTAGATAACCATGGAAGTGGCCAGTGTAGGCAGTCTATCTTTGTGGCTAGTTGGGATGATGAGCGAGCCTGTGAACACACACGATAAACGAGCTGCGTTGTAGGTCCGTTTCACTGTGCGCGTTAGACGTTTGTTCAGGAGGTCTGATATAGCATCTCCTTGAAAAGGTAGACGAATGAATAGCTCTTTCTTTTGGGCCTCATGAACTTGTTCGGATTGTCGCCTTTCCTGAAAGTTTCTCTCAATGAACCGTTCAGGATAACCATTTTCTCTGAGGACGTCCTTAATTTTTGTTAGTTCCTCATCTATCACATTGTCAGAGCAGATCTTTCGCGCTCGTGATGTGAGACTCTGAATTAAATTTCTTTTCTGTCTGAGTGGGACGAAGCTGCAAAAGTGGGTGTATTGTCCCGTCCACGTTGGTTTTCTATATATTCGTCGTTGTAGAGAACCATCGTCTCTTCGGAGGAGTGCCACGTCTAGGAAGGCCAAATTATCATTTTCTTCAGTTTCCAACGTGAACTGAATTGATTCATGAGCCTCGTTGAATCTCTTGAGCAAGCTTGTCGTGTTCCTACCTTTCGGTGCGAGACAGAATATGTCGTCCACGTAGCCGCAGTATAGACTCATTTGCTCTATTTCTGGCTTCAACGCGGTACTTTCTAATTTGGCCATAGATATATCTGCTAGCAATGGGCCCAATGGGGAACCCATGGCCACTCCGTCAATTTGACGGTATAATTTTCCATCAAATAGAAATTGAACATTGTATGTACATCTCAGTAGTATCTCCTTCAGGTTCTTCGTTGGTATTCCTAAGTTTATTTGTTCAGTATCAATGTGGCGACAGAGGAAATCGATGGTTTCTAATAGTGGAACGTTTGTAAACAAAGACTTGTTATCTCGTAATTTGTGTCAGATCTGGTCAAATGAAACGGTGTAGCATTCTGAACACGGAACTGGCTAATGTGTAATACCATATGAACAAACAATCTCCAGAATGTGTTCACAGGTTCTGTGGGCATGTTATTTCCCAGTGTAGCATTCTACTTGTGATAACTACCCACCTACCTTCTTCCACAGCGTTAACTCACGGGAATAAGGTTCAGGCTGTACTCAAACAATCAGTGAAAGAACATTTCGTTTTCAGACCAAAACATGGAGAAATCCTTGTCCCTGAAAATCGCTGTCGTCCATTCGAAACTACGCAACTGTAATATTCAAAAATGCGAGCAGCTTCGTTTTGCATTTTCGTAGAAGGGAAATGAAATGGAATATAATAGTGGGGGAAAAACATATCCTGCTACCTGTTGTCACAGAGGAAAGCAGATTTATACACGAAAATTAGAATGCTTTTCAATTCAATACACTCCATTCGGATGTTGATATGCGGGATAAATGCCAAATAGTCGAACTCATAAATATTGATACTACTACTACTAATGAAACGGTAACTAAAACTTTTCATGTGTGAAGGTCACGTTGAAGTGAAATAGGTGAGTGTTGTCCGAAAGTATTTTATGGATAAGGTTGGTGCTCGTCAGTGGTAGCTTTCCTAATCGGAATAAAGGAAACGACTGTGGATCATAAGACCACAGCGTAGAATTATCCAAACTCACTTTTCAAGTCCAGGTAATATTAGAGGAGAACAATACAATGAGATCGGGAGGACAATTTGATATACATGCAGTATTATTATTGTGAGGTCTGAAGCTGTTTCAGCTGACTAATATAAAGTAACCGTCGTTGTCAATGTCCAGCGCATGATTCAATGGGTTATGTTAATCAAAGGTACCGACTCCCAAATATTTGATGGAATCAACTCTGAGAAGCCAGTTGTGTTAGTTCTTTGCTGTCCTTAAGGTCAACATACACTGAACGTTAGGACAATTTTGTGTAAGACTAGGGTGTGCAGGAAGACGCCCTGTATTGTACCAGTTCTCGCATGACGCATCCAGATGAGAATCGTAACTGATGGGCCGAGACAAAAGACATCCTTTGCGTTCTTTAAAACTTGAGCAGAGGATATGCTAGAAAGATCACTAATGTAAGCAAAACACAAGTTTGGTGAAGAATTGCTCATTTGAGCACTCCAAAGTTATCGACTCGTAAGTTTCTGCCTATTGTGGTTCGCTGTCTTCTCTCCGTGAAATTGTCTGATAGCCAGACAAGCGATAGTTTTGAATACCCTAATTCTCCTTAGTTGTGAAGAAACCGTGACGAAGAAATCAAGTCTTAAACTTTACGGTAATAGGGTAATACGCATCTAATGAACTTCACCTTACCATTTAAATGTTTTTGATGTTATGTGATTGAAAGATGGTTTGCTGGTAAGATGTCATAGGGAAGCCGCTGCAGCGAGTTGTGCCTGTAGGGCCCTACGCCTGTCGAAATCTGAGATCATAAATAAAGATAATGTGCCAATATAATCTTGCGAGAATATCTTTCTCAGCCATTTTCAGTGCAACAGACATTAGGGTGATTGGTTGAAAACGTTTTGCGATGACTGTTGACTTGGTCACCGTTGAAATGGGAGCACTGGCCACCGGTCTCCTGAATTCTGGGATTTCGCTGCAACTCCCGGACTGATTTCCAATAGACATCATCGCTTCGGCCAAAGGAACAGCTCCATCTTTCGTGGTGTGGTGGAGGAAGGGCATCCGACGTTTGGTGCTTCATAGAATTCTAAGTAGCTCTTCATGATCTGCTCGTGCGCAGCTGTTAGCATTTTGTTGAACACAGAAAAAAGTGCGGAATTTCTTTTGATTACTCATTCAATTTAAAGGAAATAGAGAATGCGCATTTAGTTAAACTAGCAGGATCAGTAATCACTGATCAAAACGGTGGCCTTGTGCGATAGAGCGTAAAAATTTGTGATTATGAGTGACTACTCTACTAAAGGAACGTATATGCTGCGAATGGGGTTAGAGTTGACTGTGGGCAAGGAGTAATCGAGAAGTCGCTAATTATGGTGCTTTTGTGGCCAGAAAATCCTGGATTGCATGGGCACCTAAATAGTCAACACTGCTGGATGAAAAGCCTTGCCGTGCCGAGACAATTTGACTTATGTAATGGCACTTCTTTCGTTCTTTTTTGCGATTAGTTAGTAACAGTCAAATCCTGACCTCACAAGGGCACCAACCACATATTGATTTCACCAGTATTCATAGGCACATCCCGAACTTGTTGATGTGAATACGCATGCTGATCCAACCGGACTATTTCGAGAACAACGACCGAATGTTGAGACTGATCCATATTGGAATCCGTTCGTGTTTCGTTTCTTGTCAAAAATAAAACATATCTTTTCTGTCCGACTCTAATTGTTTTACCACTTCCTTCAAATTGTCCTGGCTAATTGCCGTCACTCCCTTTCCAGTATTTACCGTTTACTCGAATCGTTTCGCAACTAATGGAGAACAAAAGCGGACCCGAGGTAGAAGAATATCGGTACTTTGATCCGAAACTCTTCCGTCGTCAAAATGCGTGAGTCACCGTGTTATTGGTTCAAGTGAACTTGTTACTTTTGTTCGCGGTATTTTTGCAACTCTTGCTAACGTTTTTGGGTGTTCATGTGCATAGATGCCGTCTTTTATCTTCATTTTTTCAAACTTAGTTCAATCTCTGTTGAGAGTGTTTCGCGGTGTTGAACAAATGTTCTTCAATCACAATCCCCACGCACTTCAATCTCCCTGGCTTAGTCGTTCGTATGTTTTGGGGAACCGAGGAACATTTTGAGTTGTGTATTACATCTTCTGTTTCTTCCTCAATGTGAACTAGATGCACTTACATACTTACTTTCACCCTAAAGCTAAATTGCCTGTTTCTGCCGCCTCTTTCTGTGTGTACCTATTTACCTGTTCCTGTGGGATAAACTACGTCGGCCGCACGAGCAGACAAAAACAACTCGTAAGAACACACTCGGTCTTTCATGGCCAACACCACACACGCCACAGCCATCTCCGCACTCACACCTAATGACCCGAACCAGTGCGCATGTGAGGATCAAAGTGTGAGCAACATCCGGTCATGGAACTGGAATGTTGATCATTCGTTTTCCAACTTGTCACGATTTCCCTCTCCCGATTAAACAGTTTGATATAAATTGTGATGTATTAGCCTATAGAAGAATCACCGCAAGTGAGCTTGTTGGCCACTCTGTGTTGTCTCACAATGTCTAATGATGGTATATTCGGAGAAATCTAGTAGTGTCAACAAGACTCCTCTTGACGAATTTGATTTCCCGCGGATAGCTTCCACAAGGAGGTGGATGCGGTCAAAAGCAGGTAGTGAAATTCCCACTTGGAAAGACAACACCGTCTGTTTATTCCAGGTCGGTGATTCACGTGTCCCGATTAATTAACTCACTGCCATGTTTCTTCAGACATCGAGAAGGCAGCCGCAATACAGAAAGGTACATGCCACATTCACCTTCTATTTGTGCTCGGAACGCGTTGTTATTCTTGGGTTACCGGCATCTAGCAACGTTGGGGAGTTTCAAATAGCACTATAGATGAAGTTTCGAATGTTTAAACGGTCCACTGAACGCATGATGATAACGCAGCCAGTCAAAGATCCCATCGAAAAGTATTTCACGACTACAATAAACGTTCTGTACAAAGCTGACGTTGGCCAATACTTGTGATCAATGTTGTGCTCTCGGTACTGAAGTTTCTGACAAATGATAGAAAGGGAAGATCTCATTCGGCTTTATTTTGAATAGCGTCATGTTCAGAGTAAATGAACCGTAAACTGAAAAACTGGGAAGCACTAAAGAATTGCCTCATGCCGATTGCGTTTCGTTAGAATTGCATATGACTGGATTTCGATTCCGGGATGTCACTTGTTGAACGAAAGCATACCAGCCACTCGGCCAACGGGCAGCTAATCCCTAATTCATCTTTGCCAGGTGTTGCGAGCATCATGTCTGGTTCATCTTAGCACTAGCCCACAAGGTTATGGCTCGGTTTGCAGACATTCCAAACTGGACTGATACAGGATGTTGACATTGTTACTGATTCTCCACCCGAACCAGTGTTAGAGTGGAAACCGTATGGCTTCCTGGGGATGCAGTAGCGGGTGGGAGGAAACGTATTATTATGGGAATGTTATCGAAATGTTTTACAACACGATAACTCTAGCGCTGTTTGGTGGTTTTCTTTTGACTGCTCATCTCTGACCCTTGAGATGACAAGTAATTACTGAGGTGTGTTCTGTTGGGAGCTGTTAACCGTATAGTTGATAGTCTTGTTGGGAGATTGTATTGTTACGAAACATCTAACAACACATTTTTTTGTTCTAGGAGAGCCGGTAACCATTATGGTTGGTACGTCCCTCTCAAGAGCGTCTCTCGTACCGCTCAAACGAGAATGGGTCTACGGTAATATTAAGTGGTCGACCATACACATCACAACTGTGTCAGCGTACCTCGGCGACATCTATATACGGTGCTCGCTCGCTAAACGAAAACCCATCATGTCCTCGAGCATCACCGCCGACTGTCTGTACCCGCCCATTTAGTTAGATAAGTTCACTCCTGAGATTTCCGTTTTCCTATCCGTGCCCGGGTTCCCTGTACTATTACAAAGCACACTGCGTTTCTATTGATTGTGTGACCTTCCGATTCTGGGTTACTAAAATCGACGTCCTTTTAAGGAATAGAGTTGATATGACGTCACAATGGTCTGAGTGATAATTGATAATAGCCGAAGCTGAGTTCGAGCTTACGGTACTTTTTCACCCGAGTTCACCACCGAAAGTGGTGTTCGAC